CACCAAAGAAAATTTCTTATGGAAGCCCAAGAAAATGAATGTCAAATTTCACAATTCTTTTGAAATCTGACATTCATTTTCTTGCTGGAGCAACTTTTCTCCATACAAAAATTTTCGCTTGTCCAGCTGTGTCAAATCAGTCAAGGCAAGATAATCAGAGCATGGGTGAGCACTGTTGGCTAGGGCTAAGGGATCAACCTTTTTCTAATAATAAACACTTGCTTAGGTTGACACAGATGAGAGGGAGAATCTTCTACCTACAGGTTTTCTCCATAATTTTATATACAGGGACTGATTCTCCTTGGGGTGAAAATCACTCATAGGACCAGTATTTTTCTCTCTTTTATGGTTTGTAACTGACAAAAGTTACAAGTATGCTTGCAGTGCATCTGATCTAATACATGTTGACATAAGATCAGACTTAAGATTACATGGTCATGTGGTTCTTATTATTAACGCAAGGCACCACAAATTTAAAAAATTTGTATCAAAATTTTACTATTTAGTGTCTTGAAAGGGGTTTCGTTTTGGAGAGCAAGACTTTAAAAGAGTGTGAAAGTTAGCGATAAGCAGTATACATTCGTGGTACCAACAATTTTTGTCAAAAAATCTCATCCCAAAGTGTCAGTTGCAAAAAATTACTTAATTCTGTATATGAAACGAAAGAATCAAGGTAATAAAATAAGGTCTCTTGTCCTAACCAAGATAGAGACATGAAGGATTTTTGCCTCAAACAGGCCCAAGGTTTGAGGGTCTTGATGGCAACAAATTTCTACCCAAATTTTCTCTGAGTAGTGTCCCTCTTCTCCCCAGGGACCTCAGGTCAGGACGGTACTGTGAATCCTCTATTAAGCCCTCCAGGAGGCTTATTATTTCAAACATATTTGAGAGGGGGGGGGGGGGCCTTTTTTTTGGGGGGGGTCTTATTTCTTTTAGAAAACAGGAGGGTATACTTCTTTCACAAGAAAATACAAAACAAATGAAAAAACAGGAGTGGGAGGTCATGCGGCGAAGAATCAAACAAAAAACCAAACTTC